GGCCTCTGAAGTCAGCGTACTTTGTAATATTTGGTATGAAAAATTCAATTTTCAATCATCCTGACAAAATCCATTTTTGACAAAGAAAAGCATCCCTGCCTGAGCAGACCTGTGTCTGTGCTAGCAGGTGCAGCAGAACTTGGACCTTTTGGTGAAAGGTTGTATTTTATCTCTGACATCATTCAGCTGAATACCATGACCAGAGTTCTAAAAAGCAAGCTATGCTTCAAAGTTATTTTCAAACACAGCTACATGAATGGATTTTCAAAGAATGTATAAATAGCTGTGTCTAAAACTTTGCACATCAAACCTGAGACATCTAAGTATTACAAGTTGTTTTTGAACCTCTTAGCCTGTAAAGACACAGTAAAATGCAAGTATCACTTATCAAAGTACTTTAAAATTTTTAATAAATTAATATTCATAAACAAAACCTCCTGTCTGCATCAAAAATAAAAATAAAAATCTGGGTTACTGTTGTGCTATTAAACATCTTGCACACTTAGCCAAAGTTCTGAACACTAATGGCTATATAAAACATTTATAGGAACAAAGACTCCACCATCAGGACAGAAGCAGACTGGGAGTGAGGGGAACTCCTGAACTGTATAAACTGCCAAAGAGCAGCTACAAGGCAATGGACAAGGAGCTGGTGTGATCCCTGAATTTTAAAGTTGTGTTTTCAAGACTGTCTCACCATGTGATGGGTTACTTTTCATATTGAACGTTTCACACAGATCATAAACCACTTTAATGTCTGTGAAAATATTTTAAATCTGAGAGCTAAAATTGTTGTGTTATAGATAATAAAAGGATATTTCAAAAAAAAATCTATACAACATAGTGTGTTCTATTTTCTTAATACTGTTTCAACAATTTCTGGCAAATGCTGCTGAAGAAAACCTCTGCCAATTAAATCAGCATGAAACCAGAATAACAACAACAAATGCAATAAACTAACCACCCTCTACAATGTGAGAATGAGACCCTGAGAATCAACAAAAAATTGATCTTCAAAGCAAAAGGATTTTTTCTGGGGGAAGGGTGGGGTGGGTAATGGCTGCAAACTTGTCACAGAAGCACAGAAATGATTGAAACAAAGGCCTTCCTACAAGAATTACTGCAGAACTACAACCCTGCAGCATCCTTTGATGGCCATCAGGCTGTGCATTTTTAACTCTGGAGATCCCCCTCCCATCATCTTTCATAAATTTCCCGTTTAATTTCCCTATGGTGACTGCAGCCAACACCCTCAGGGCAGCTCCCCCTCATTCCCCAAGGCTGGGTGAGCCAAGCTCCCGGTGCTTCACCAGACCCTGGAACAGAGACGCCTCCTCCAAGGGTCAGCACAGCTTCCCAGCAGCTCCTGCAGTCACTGAAGACATTTGCCACTGAGCCTGCTCCTGGAGAGGCAACACAAAAGCAAAGGGGAAAACTTCTACAAACCAAACTTATATCTCCAAAAGGAAACTCTATCTACTTTAATTGGATATTGCATGTAACACTCCCCCCATGAAAAAAATACCTAAGGAACTCCTTATTTTTAAGTAAATCTGCAACTTAAACTATGTCAGATTTCAAGTAAATTGTGCAATTTCCACTACAGGCTGCAAGTCACTTTCCTGAAATATCATCCTGGTTTAACAGCATGTTCATTTATCTGCTTAATGGTTTGAAATGAACTAAAATAAGTATGCAAGTTGATTGTGGTCTGAATTTGCTGTTTCATTTTGTTTTCAATTATAACACCATCAGGATATCTAGTGTTTATCTGCTGAAATGTGCCTTTCATCAATGAAACATTTTACCATCAGTAAGACACCTATAACAATTTAAGTCTCTTCAATATCCTAAATCCTGATTAGGCCAAGTATGTTAACACACAGTGACATTCCAAGCACAAGCACTGGCACTGAAGTTAGGTACTTTTATTAAAATGATTTGCTGAACTGCAAGGCCAGCAATGAATATAATTTATGATAAATGGAAAGAATCTTCTCAAATGCAGTTTGCCCCATTCTTCCACCAGACCTGTTTTGACTAAAGACAAATGTAGAATTAAAATAATCTTCTTTTTCTCCTCTTTTTAGTTTGGGTTTTGGTTTGGTTTTTTTTTTCTTTGGCCTTACTCTAAGTAGCATAAACTTATTGTAAGTAGCAGCATTGTATGCATGGCTGTACAGAGGGAATCTCATTAAAAAGGCTGTCTCATGTGGGCATTACTCTGACAGTTCTACTTTTACAAGTTTATATTAATGACTGCATTCCTTTACCAAGCACTAGAGGCTTTTTATTTCAGTTAAAAGCACACGGATTATTTTAGTACTGCTTAGGAGAATAAATTTATCCAATTTTAAAGCTGGATAGTAGTAGTTGGCTAAAAAGTTGGCTATGCTGGCTAAAAAGTATAATTAAAATGTACTTTTTACATTATACTAATTTAGGATACCTGTCCACCACTGTGAAATTTTAATGTATATTTATGCTATAAGTACACAGCACTGATGCTGTTATGTATGTCTAGAGTATGTATGTATCCATGCAGATACAGCATCATAACACCACAAATACTATTCACTGTTTTTACTCTTGTCACTTTTTTAGTTTCTTATAATTTCCTTCTTTATTCTTAGAGCAAAAAAATCCTTTTTATATAAACAAGGCCCCTGCACAAGGTGCCAGGTCCCTCAGCAGAAGGGTGCCAGGGGTTCTCAGCAGAGCTAATTCAGCACGATGCTGGTGCAGTGACGCTCAGCCGGTGGCAGCTCAGCGGGGCATCAGCCTCACACACACCAGGGCACGGTGCCAAACTCTGTCCCCACAGCTGAACAATGCTCCCTTATCTGCCTCCTCTGCACCCAAGACATTCACAGTTCTGCTGGGTCTGCTCTGCTGCCTTGTGCAGACCCCAGCTCTGTACTACAGGCAAGTTCAGCAAACAGATAAGAGCACATGAACCCAGCTTTTTGCCTTTGCACAGCACAATACTCTACTGCAGTGTGACACACACTGGCCAAATGAACACTCTGTGGTTATTACCCACCTAATGCTGTAAAAATATTGCTATGACATTTGGTCTGCTCGACCATTTTAAAGGTTAATTCTGTTTCCTATTTGAGCTTTTCCTCTAGGTGAGCCATTCCATGCACTTTCTATTTACTGATTCCAAACAACCCCCAAACTGTTTCATTGCTCACTCTCACTGTTAAGAACATATTGACTGGCTGCCTGCTCTGCTGTTTAATTCATTTATGCTGAGAGTCAGGCATGAAGACAGAATTTTAAATGTGACATTTGCAGGCTGTTGGGTCATTTGAAGCTCTGACAACACCAGGGAGTTCCTGACATACAAACTGGTCCTGATTTCCAATCTTCCATGTTCTGAACACATCAGAAATTCTTCCCGAAGGTGCAGATTTCAGCCAAAAGTTTTAAAATCCCTTGTGCTTACAACTTGCAGGAAAGGCTTGTACACTTTAAGCTTTTAAAATAAAGCTTATGTTTCCTTTAAGGTAAAACCAGCACTGCCTGCACCATGAACTCAATGCTTTAAAACACTTATTGACAAAGGTATTTGGGAAGATCTACGATAATAATTAATACACAAAAAGTTGTTTACAAAATTCTATTAAGGGACTTAGTGGACTTTTATTTGCTCCTGTTGATCTTGAAGCATTTAAAAAGAGCTCAGTCTGAAACCACAGCTTTATCTAACATTGTCTCTCTGGCTTAGTGCTACTCTGACCAGTACCAAGTCCCAGTTTTCAGTCTGGAAATTTTCCTTATCTCAAGGCAGTGAAGGGACTGCACCATTTTGTCTCCCAACATAAACTGCCATCATCTTCCCCAAATTTCAGGTCAATTTTTCAGAGCATACTTGATTACCTGGAAGATTCCATAGGGCCAAGATACCATTAGGAAAACAGTAATGTGACCTGTTTAGCCCTGACTTAAGAAAACTGTAATTACTTATCCCTGAAGCAGGACTCCCATCTATAATGTTATAGTTTTATAAGTTTAACAATTATTTATTTTATTCTGAAAAAAATCAAAATTACTGCAACAGAAGAGGTCATTTACCCTTCCTTTAAGTCATCCCCAAGAAGGGGAATGCTAAATCTCCCCAGTCATGTCTGACACAAGTTTTATGTGTGCTGTTTGGCCATAAGCTTTTCCACACAAAAGGCAGAGCCCTCTGTGGCTGACAGCAAAGAATGAGGACACACCTGAATGCAGACTGGGTACCTGATCTACCCAGCAGGATGGATGGAAAACCAGGCCATGAACACTGAGGAAAGAGCAAGAAGGGAATATAGAATCTTCTGCACAGAAAAGATCCCTTCTTCCTCCTTGCCATGAGTTGGGGGAGACATGTTACAATAAAAACTTTAATTCCAGCTTGTATGTCCACATCATCCCTCATTTGTTTACTTAAATCAATACCACAGTAGTGCATTTAAATAAAGACAAAGTTAGAAGGCACAGTCTAGGAAAAATAGAAACCTTTTTTTTAAATTGTGCAAAATAAAAAAACCCTGTTCGAAGCAGAAAGTATGATGATACTGCTATAGTTAGAAATAAAATGGTGCTAATTCAGAATTGTGTTAGGAGGAAAGATTGTCTTCCCTGCTCAACTCATCATGACAATTATTCCACGATAATGACTCCAAACTTTGGCTGCTTTTTCAGGAAGGGAAATACGATTTAGGTCAAGATGCAAATTTAGAGAAATTAATGGATTTTTTTTCTTTTCTATCAGCAGACACACAACAACTTTAACAAGTAGCTCTGAAGTGTTAACCATGTCATACAGCAAGCATCTCTTCGTTGCCATGTTCAGAATGAGATTTTATAATTTAATAGTTGTCATCTGAACAAGAGTATCTTGTTTATACTTACTTCCAGCATGAGGACATTATTTCTGTGTGACCTAGAAAAGCAGTTTAAGTATTACAGATGTTCTTTATTTTCAAAGGAATTTTTAAAATAGAAAGACTTACCTGGTGTATTATCTGAGCTACAGGAAGTTGTTCAGCATATTTTAGTGGCTCTGTTGCCAACTCCTCCTCTGGAAACCTAGGAAGAAAGAAAGTTCATGCGTGTCAAAGTTAGTACAATGTTTACCAAATTAAATTAAAGAAATTAAGTGTTTCAGGACACTGATTTGCTTAAGGATGAAGAAAAAGTGTATTTTGTGACAATAATGGAATGTATTTCTTATGAAGTTGAGTGAAAGAACAAATTTATACTAAACAGAAATGTACATAACATTGTGCATTTTTTTCCCTGACATAAAGCACAAATTTAGCAGCAGAAACCTAAGAAAACCTTTACATTTCGTTTTAGGTGAACAAGGACTGGTGAAAGCTGGATTGAAATCCCCATGGAAAAAAGTCCTATGCATTTGCAGAGCAGATTCAGCACTGTTAACAATACAAGCTTTTTCACTCAATCCTGCCAACATAATTCAAATATGACCATCTCAAAAGGCAGGAGGGATTATTCACCATTTCCCATTTTTGCTGCAAGTGCACAGCAGTGTTTAGATGTGGTAGAAGTTAAACACCACAAATATTCATGCATTTGCCAGTACAGTAGTGTGTAGTCCTGGTTATCAAAAAGCCAAAAAGCTAGTGTGGGAAAAAAAAAATAGAGCGAATACTTCACAAAGAATATATATCATAACCCTTTAAACTTTGAATAAGCTATGGTGGCAGCTGAAGAATTGGAATCCATAAGCAGTGTCTTAAAAGAATATTTACATGATAGTAGATTAATATGAAAGCATGTTTTAAACCCTTCAACCACGCTTCTTTCATCTACTGGAGCTGCACAGCATGTGTTACATTTTCAAAGTATCACTCAAGTTTTTCATCAGCCATTCCTCTATTTTTCTGAAGACTTCTGAATATTGGAATTTGAGCACTTTGACAAGAAGTGAAGGGAAAAAAGATCCTGACAAAAACAAGGCCCTTATCTAAGCTGATGTAGAATTATTTTCAGACAAAAACTCTGGCCAAGACATTATTTTTCAGGCTCAAACCTTATACCTATTCTAGTCAAAAAGGATCCATACTTGCTGGGTTAATTGACCTGCAGACCAGCTGCCAGTTAAGAGTCAGAAACTTCAGGTTTAATGTCTGCACTGGGAGTCATCAGGCTGTGGAAAAAGAGGACAAAATGCACATCTCTCTCCTTTCCCACTACTGAATTTCTGCTGTGGTTTGAAAGGCTTTAAGCTCAAATAGGAGTCTGAATATCCAGAAATTTGTAATGAACAGAGTATGAAAGCCTTACCGTATAAGAAATTTAAAAGCAGAGAACAAAAGAAACACAGCAATATTTCAAAGATCATAGTGACAGCCTGCCCAGAACCATTTAATGTGCTTAAGACAAATTAAATAAGCAGGCTCTGAACTGCTGGAGCTGGTCCACAGATAGAGCTCATTTACTGATACGGTCTTTAGAGTTTTGGGATTACTATGACAATGATGAATTCATACTTTTAACATGAAATACACTGCTGTTGTAGTCCAGTGCAACCACCAGAGCTTAGAGGGGGCTCAGAAACTCCACCACAGAGTGTAGAAGGAATCTTTCCACTCAGTTCCTCCCTACTTTCTGTCATTGGTCCTGATTGGCAAACACATCACAGTCAGTGTGAACTGGAAATTACTTCTGTTCTGCTGGGAGCCTCTTAGCTGACACAACACCTTGATTTATGGATACCAGCTACCAAAGCCTATTTTTTAGTCATAGTTCTAGATATGAAACAACTGTACACACAACACAATATTCATCAATACCTTGAATGCTTATCTCTAAGTTTTTACAGGGACACTGCAAATCTGGGGGAATTTAAAAATTAAAAAAAAAGAGTTTCTCAATTCCCAAAATTAAAGACTTTAAGCTGAAAGTAACAGCAAAAATTACTATAAATGAATTTTAGCAGAAATGAAAAACAAAAAAAAAAAAGCTTGTCTGTCTGTTGTGTCAAGGACCTTGTACATTTGGCAGTTTCTCTTTGTACATGAAATCAGCATTCCCTTGCATTGTCAAACACACTCCTTGTCAACTGCAAGAAAAAAAGACTTTCCTTCAAATTACAAAGGATTAAAAAAGATAAACTATCATGATAATTTTAAGCTTTAGGAAGCTTAACTAAAAAAAAAAAGAGGAAGGGGAGAGTAGTAAAAACATTCATTTTGAAGTAATTAGATTTAAATTGAAATTAAGGTGATAGAAGCCTTTCAACATCAAGAAAGACATTTTACTCTTTTTTTCTAATTTACTTTCTGAAAAAAAACAAGTCACTCGAACTACACTATATTTTATATGTAAATGAATTATAAAACAGATATTAGGTAGGTGGACATTCTAATGTATTTAAATAAACATCTACATTTACATACCCACACTCTAAAATGTTTACACACACACACACACACACACACAGGTGTTTTGGAAGAGAAGTTCAGGACTGTTTTCTCAATTTTTTTGCTGTAATGCCATGGACTTTTTGTATATGTGTTTAGTGATGTACTAGCTGTCAAGTCCAGAAAAGACTTTTGATTCTTCTCTCCTGCAGATAAGCCTAAAATCCCCTGCAAGTGGGAACAAAGGGTGTGCTTTAACGAGTAATTTCTGTAAGAACAGAGACAGCTCAGGGCCAGTAAGATCAAACCCCGTGATACAGCTCACAAATGGCTGCATTCTCTCCCCCAAAGCAGGGGCTGCATCCCCAGCTGGCTGCTCCAGGCAGGTGCTGAGCCTTGAGCCACTCACAGCCACTCTCCAGCTGGGGTGAGCCACACTGGTGCCAGGGGCCACAGGGACGGTGACAATGGCACTGAGGTGGCTGCAGGACAGGATGCCAGCCTGGCTCACCAGCACAGCCGCAGCCCCACCAGGCTTTGAGGAGATCAGCTTGGTTACCTTGCTCAGTTGTGCCATGGAGCAAAGAAAGCCCAGCAGGGCACTCTGTGCCCAAGAGAAAGAAACCTGCTACAAGACTGCTCCTTCATTTCAGCCCTAGGAACAGCAGCCCACCAGCACTCCTAGACTGGCAGGATGACCTGCAAAAGGCAGTCCTCTTCATAAAGCATAAGGGATAGAAAGGCCTAGGGGGAGAAACAGGTCGGCACAGAAGAGGATGTTCTACTTCCTCCTCTTTTGCAGGGTGGAGGAGGAGAACACGTCAGGATAAAGATCATCTCCAATACAATTCTTCTGACCTTGTCTGTCCCTTTCACAGAGGGACACAAGCAAATTGGTTATTCCCTCCAGAGATAATTTCCAGATGCCTGGGGATGCATTCCCTTTTGCTCAGAACTAGTTATGTCAGGAAAAAAATCCAAATACAAAACCATCTCAGGTGATGGAATTTGTGCTGAAATAATATGTGGCAATTTGAGGCTGTAATTTCACTAAATTAGTTGGCCTCACTGTGTTTAGTTCATTCATATTTGACACTTAAACCTTTATAAAATTAAGGACTAATTTGTTGTAATTCAGTTTTCTTTGTATGTTTAATTTCTTTCAAAACAATTATATTACAGAAACAAAGGTAGTTTTTCATGAATTAATTTTCCAGTAAGAAACAGTCCTTTCTGTCTCAATTGAGCATGACAGCAGAGTGCTGCCAACAGTGGCAAAGCAAGCTAACACAGTGGCATATCAACATATACAGCATCATGCCTGACAGCTGGTAATGCAAAGCATAAGGAGATCTTGATTTTCAGGGAGAAGAGTAGAAAGAATTGTAAAATCAGAAGAGAAGTGGGAAGCAGTAAGAGATAGCAGAAGAGGAGGATCTTGAAAAATTCAATTTAAAAGCTATTTTTATACTGCCACTGCGACTGCTCTTAGATGAAGGAAAGTGAGCATGAAACAGAAACTGTGGAAAGTGAATCTAAATCCAGTAAAACGTGTCAAGATATTTGGTGAAATATCTTATTTGCTATTTATATTTGTATGCTTGCTCTTAAGGGAGACAGTCAATGTGTGCTAAAGAAAAATAAATTCTGAGCATGAGGAGGTGGCACATTCTCCCCCAAGTGCAAACCCAGCCCATGGTCTTCTACACAGAATAGCTGCAGTGGCTTTAGGGCAGAGATGCATTTTATCTTCTGCAAGTATTACAAAAATACAAGGGGGAAAAAAGCACATGTGATCACTAACTGGTTTGCTCATGGCAGAAATGGGCTGTTAAGACATTTAAGGGACAGAAAAGTCTAGGTAACATAAAACCTGGCTCTCTGGGTTAATATAAACATTCACTAATATAACAGGCAGCAGGACTACGGCTAGTATTTCTTCCTTCTTATATGTTCCCTAGACTTGATGGCTCAGAAAAGTCACAGAATTTCACATCTATGACCCATGCACAGGTAATACCGCATCTCTTTTGAAATTCCTGTTCTTTGATGGTAAGTCCTAATAAGGAATCGACTCTTTTGAAGCTATCCAAACTGGAAGTCAGAGTGTGAACAGGGTACAAAGAGCTATCAGAGACAAAAATGCATGAGAAGAAGGGGTTTGGGCATCACCATCTTTCTTTTCTGCAGACACCACTTGTACAACTCGAGTGCTGCCTGGCTTGTTTGAGACATGACTTCTGACTAATGTGAATGAAAATGCTGGAATGGGCTGTGCCCCCCTTGTAGAAGCAGCTCTGAGCAGAAACATTGCAACTGCTTGGACAGTCAGCACGAGCCCAAGGGATGCAAATAACACAGCAGTGCCTAAACCTGACACCCAAGACTGAAAGGCTGAAATTATTAATCTAAACCTGTGTATAGCACTGATAGCTTTATTGACTGTAAATACAGGAACACACTTGCATCTGGCAATAAAAAGAAAACAAAATACCAGAGCTTTATGCACCACATCAGAAAAAGTTATTAGCTTTCCTATTAAAGAGAGGCTGAAATGGGCTATGTCGGGTTTGAGTGAATAGTTTTTAAAATTGGCCATTGAGAAATTTATCTACCATATCCATAGTACAGAAGATTAAGAATTAGACCTTGGATTGGTGCCAGGTACTTGATCTATCTGTTAAATCCTAACTTCATACA